CGTGCGATGCAATTGTCATTTAAATAAGTAGATATTTTGTTATAGTCTCTAGAATCGTACTTAAAGGTATTTATAAGAATGGCACATCATCTGATTGCTCGAGTATACTTGAGTACACTAGACGTGTATACACGTCTAGTGTACTCAAGTATACTCGGGCAGTCATATTACACCGCCATATTACACCGCCATACACTACACGCACGTGTAGCCCCTCATGAGGCGGGACTATGAGGGGGCCAAAGGGGGCTGGTGCTGGCAGTGTCCCGTCTACGGTCATGCATGACCGTCAAAGGACGGAAAATTTCTCGAAACTTGCATTTTTGAGAAAGTGCAAACGGTGTTAAAACAGAAATAATTCCAATTAAGAGACTGTGGCTAAATGAATTCAGAAACATTAAACTACAAGCTATTTGCTAACAAATTCGCCGGCTACGTCTGCACAGAAACATATAAGAGTATTTGTAAAGGCGGGCTCTGCTTACCAGAAGATCACAGGCATTTTTAACTGTTCAAACTAAATTGTCTAAAAATTGTTATGAACCATCTGTGAGTAACTGAAGTCATGCGTTCGATGTATCGTGGCAAACAATTGTTCTGATTGTAGTCGTTTTTTGCAAAAGTTCTATAATTTGTTTATTATAATTGAACTATTTTTTTCATGTATTGGCGGCAGTCGTCTTATGTCGTGAGAGAGTGGTGCACTAATGTGGGTTTATACGAATGGTTTACCTTCTGCAAGACGACGAGGGACTTATCTGTACAACATCCAAAAAATTAAGCAGTACTCAGTACTTTTCAAGGAATGCATTCCAGACGAGGAAACCGAAGTCGTGGGACGGCCAGCAATGTAAATAGAGGACGTCCAGCGCACTTTTTTCTTTGGTGGGATAGAAGAAGTACTCCTTCTGTGCATGTACACCGGGTCATACCGCGTCACAATGTCACTTATTTGTCCTTTTATCGCAACCCCTCCGGTTCCGCGTGGCTAGAGGGGCTGGACGTGAATATTGTTGTCTGGAAAAGCAAAAATTAATCCAGTGGACTTTTTAGCAGTTCACTGGCGGTCAAGATAGAAACATTGGACTCTGAAGGTTCTTATATTTGTCTGGAATTACTGATGATAAAGTAAATATGGGGTACGAGTAGAAAACACGTAGGGGACAGTGGCCTACAATAACATCCGATATGTCCTTATGTCGGTCTTCATGCATCCTCAACAGCATAATATAAGTAAAGTGGATTGTTCCTACTCCTCCTCTTGGTTCTATCTAGGATTATGAGCGTACATTCAGTGCGTCTGACTGCTGGTCTTTAGATTGAGCTCAAAGGCGCAACAGGGCGTGCAGGTGCCTTAGTGCCATCGGTGATCGCTCTCTACCGTACTGAGCACTTGAGTCCAATTTATGCAAATACTTTTTATCGAGGAATTTTCGATTTAGCAGTGGCCCACTTTTGGAATTGTCACGAAAGAAGGATATGCAATACGGACACTAGTGGCACGTTTATTTAAACAAACACAGGCGTGATCCAGCGTTCGAAAGTCCGACATTATCTTGCTATTCTGTTCAAAGTAGGAAGTAAAAAATTATAACTGCTGAGGCGGTCAGTCTACGACACAGCTGAAAAACGGTCTGCAGTAATCTGTCTCCATACCAGTGACTAGATCAGCGGAAGTACTTGGCAGTTGTCTGCCCAAAC